GATCCTAAAATATATTATAAAAACATATCCTAAAATTCATTGCGTGTACGCATATGACGTAAAAGTTTCAAGGGCCTATCTATAAAAATATAGTGTTTTTTAAAGAAAGACTMACTTAGTTGCCGGTAGCTCCTCTTTCAGCAGGCTCACTTGGCCGCTGACAAAATCTTCTGCCTGAAAAACAAAAAGGTAAGTTACGTCATTTGTACGTCACTCCAGTGACGTCACTTCCACATCACTAAAGTGACGTCGACTCTTCATTACTCAAGACATCATTTTTAGGTCAGCAAGTTGGCATGTTTGAACTACAAGGATCGCCATCTTTTGATAGATTCATAAGTTATATGTTCTTCCCAGGCCGTTSCGGACAATAGGAACAGTGTGACGTGGGCCTACTCACCTCCACCAAAGACTTGGGCAGCAGCTTGGCTTTGAACAGATGTAACATACAGTCCATAATATTCTTCCAGCCTTCTCTTAATATATCACCATGRCGATGTGCTAGTGCGAACACAGTTCGCGCAGACTGCTGGGCCTTGAGGTTCCCGCCAAAGGCTACAGCCAACGACTCACCGGCCTGTGAAAGGAAATGAGCGAATAGCTAAATAATAAATAAATCAACGAATCAAGGATTGGAAAGAAGAAAAGCTGCTAAAGAACGCCAGATAACATGACTTGTCATTCAACAATCCCGAGCCYAGACTCTCCACGTCTAATGTACGCGGTCTGTTGATGGCCCATTGGCTTCYGCTGGATGACAAAAGTGTGGGCTCTGGGTACGAGATTGATGAACCTTTTAGCTCTGTTGAGTAAATTKAATGAGAACTTCTTACCTCGGGCACCGTTAGTAGAGTGGTGAATTTACATAAAGAGATGACTAGATTATCGAATACATCAGAGAGGTTGTAGTGGGCTGATATCAATGAACATCTCCTACAAAATAACATTATGTAGTGTTAAACTAAAATATATCAAAGCTTAAACTAGTTTGCAGTTTCTTCCTATATTT